GATATATATATATACCTTAAAGCCCCTTCACACCTCCTTCTTCCATTGCAAGTTACCTTGAAGCCAACCTAGCTTGCTTACACCACCACTACACACCATATACGACCTTGTCTTGCCACCCTAAAGCCCTGGTTGATCTTGAGGAAGTGTAATTCAAGCTTGAGATTGCATTGAAACCAAGTTTGAAACCTCAAGAACAAGCTTGCTTCTTGGAAGGTATAAGCTTGCTCTCTCTTTTGTTGCTTTCATTTCTATCCTTTACTTCATCATTCTTGCTGTTTTTGTTGTTTTTGAGTTTGTTTGAAGGAGTTGGGTTTGAAGGGTTACCAAAAGGGTAGAGAGAGCTTGTTCTTTCTACACCTTTATTCAAAACTCAAACTCTTCTCCTTTTCACTCTTTTTCCTTAGTATTCATACTGATTTTGAGAGGTTTAAAAAGGCTTAAAACCATGTTTTGAAGCTTCAAAAATGGAGGGGTTAGCCACCCTTCCTCACCCTTGTTTATTAGCCTTAAATGCTCATCTTTGTTGTCTAGCTCTTTAACCCCTTTTCATGCATATTTAACCTCTGATTTGTATGTATTTAGGACTGTTTTGAGGTTGTCTAAGCTCTTCCATTTAATTCATACCTTGTTAGATACACTTGAGGTCTCATAGTAGGCATACTTGTTTAATATGCTTTCTTGGTTCATTTTACATGCTTTGGGGCTTAAATGTGCTAATCAATCAATCAATCCATATCTTTCTTTCATGAGAATGGATTCAACCAATTGAGGTTGCTCAATGCATGTAAGGGAGACCTACACTTAATGGCTTAATCTCTTCGAAGATTCATCGTTTATGGTGTAGTCTCCTTCTCATGTTTTGGGAGGACTTCTTGTTTGACATCACTTCTTGTTTAGAGGACTTAACATCACATTTGGACAAATGGATTAATGAATGGCAAGGCCTAAAACAATTGGTTTAAAATTTGGATCAACACACCTAAAGAAAAAATGGTTTAAATAACTTGAACTTGGCTGGACGTTATGCCAAGTTCCTTGTGTCAAAGGTCATCAAGCATTAATTCATGGTGTTTTTGATGCCCTTGAAGCATTGCAACTTCCCCTTTTTGAGTTCATTCCATGACAAAAGGGAGGGGTGGTCCATTTGCATTACATTAATTAACTTTTGTCCAAAATTGACATTCAAGATCATCAAGTGATCATATCGCTCATTGATGGTTTTTGAATCAATCCCAACCTTTTCTTGAGGTTTTCCTATGACAGAGAAGGAAGGAAGGACAAACAGAGCTTGAAAATGCTCTATCTACACTGATTTCACCTCAGAGCACAGAATCAGAGTTTGCACCAAATCAATGCACGGTCGGCGCTCTATAGGCCCGGCCGGCCATCAGTAATGCACGGTCGGCCCTTGGTGTGTAGCCAACAGTGCAGTTTTGTAGAAGCAGAGTTTGCACCAAATCAATGCCCGGCCGGCCCTCTGTAGGCCTGGCTGGCCATCAGTAATGCACGGCCGGCCCTTGGTGTGTGGCCAGCAGTGCAGTTTTGTAGAAACAGAGGCAGTGGCTGAAGGTGAAACAGAGGCAGTCTGGGGTAGATAGAGCAGTTTTCAAGCGATGAACATGCAACCTCCATCCATCTTCCTTGACATCCATATCAAATGCGTTGTTATTTAATTGTTTCATTAGCATAGCAAATTGTGTTGTAATATTTAATTAGTCTAATTAGTTGTAGCTAATTAGTTGATGTTGTAATATTTAATTAGCTTAGATAGTTAATTGTAATAATTAATTAGCTTAGAGTAGTTAGTTAATTCATTTGAAGTGTTGTAATAATTAGTTAAGTAGTGTAGCTTAGCTAGTTTCATTCGGACCCTCCTTCGCGAGGGCATAATGTTGTAATAAGTGTGCGTGCATGTGTATATGTCTTTCAACCCCGCGTTTTTCTCCCTTTCATTTAATCTCTTTTGATGGTTAGATTAGGGACATGTTTTAATTAGCATATCGCATGCTTGCATCCATTCATCTTGTCTTGCATGCATCGAGGCTCGGCGCATCATTCAAATTGCATTTTCATTTCAATATCTTATTTGAATACGTGTTTAATCGCATGTTATCAAATCGATCCATATGTCATATTAGTAGCTGAGCCTATTAATTGTATTCTTTGCATGTGCTGCATTAGGCACTTAACATAGTTAGGAATCATGCATTTTTCTAACTCTCATGTTTTCCTAGCTTGGAGTACTAGGTGAGTTTTTACTCTTTAGCTTAGTTGCATAAGTGTGAATGTTGCCATGATTAGCATGCTTGCCATGAGGCAATGTGCTTAAATGTTAAACTGCTTGAATGCCTGTGGATGAAGGCTTGTTGTTTGAATTGGAACGATTCAACGAAAGAATGTTTTAAGTCCACTTTGAGTAGCAAATCATGTTTTAAGCCCACTATGTTTGGTGGCAAATCCGCAAACTTTAAGCCCACTTGAGGTGGCAAATTCAAACCATTTTGGCAAACAAACATGAGTTGAATTGATCCAAATTGACCAAACTAGTCTATACTTGATTGTGCGCATCACATAGTAAAGGTAGCCTAATAACCGGAGCAAGAACACATAATGTTTATAAAAAAATCATATCATGATTAGTAGAGGCAGATCTTTGATCGTGCGAGCGGGGGTGCTCAATTCATGACCTTGCCCTCTCGCACCCAAGTTCCCCAACCGAGGCAACTTTGGTGATGACAGACATGTGGCCTTTGGCACGAGTCATGGGTTTCCTAAATTTCCCCAAAATAAAATATTTAGGTGGCAACTCTGTGACTGGTAAAGCAGTACAATTTTGGCATCTTTGATTCAAAGATCGATTTTCCAAAAGATTCGCCGAATTTGGACTCTTTGGTGCTTATCAATTTCACATTGCACTTGTGAGATTAGATTCAGAACTACAGGAGTCTGAACTGTAGAGCTTTTTTTCAAACCTTTCGAAAAGGGGGCGCAAAAAAGTCGAGCTACACATACAGTTGACTCGGTGCATGGAGACAGTACAATTGGCTCATGAGACATACAGTTGACCCATAAAGGGATGTATATAGAATAATCCACAATAGTTGGCTCATGAGACGTACAGTTAACCCATAATTGGGACGTAACAAAACAGATAACAGATATCATCTGAAGCTAAAAATGCCACGAATACATTTCAGAAATATTGAACAACCATTCATTTATACAAAAAATAATATTTCAGAAAACAGATCATCTTATATCATTTAGAAAATATTTGTAATTGAACATAGCTTCACAAAGTTATTACTCGTAGATGGCTCCGGATGCAGACAAACAGAGCAAATGAATCAAATGGCTTACGGTGTGTGACCTATGTAAACATAACAGATACACGTAATGATAAACACACTCGAATAGTACATAACGTATTGCATTTCGTTCTTAGTGTGTTTCTAGTCCTTAACCTCATCATTGTGTCTTAATCATGGCCTAATAATGCCTAAGATGTAATGAGGATGCAAAAACTGCACTTGAGAATACTTAAGCAATTATGCTGAAAATAGTGCCTCGCTCGAGCGTAACTTCCTTCACTTGCACTTGAGCGGAGGGTCAAAGATGTGAGTGTTCGCTCAAGCACAACTTCCTTCACTCGAGCGGTTTGTAAATTCTACAAAAGTACTAGTTGTGTGAATTTTCCGCTCGATGGTCACTCAACGGTCGGTCGAGCGTGAGACTGAGGTCCTTGCTCAAGCGCAACTCTTGTCGCTTGAGCAGTTTGCAAAATATGTCAACTTCTGCGGAGCATGCATTTTACGCTCTAGCCAACTTTTGGTCGCTCAAGCAGAGAGACAGAATTCTAGAATTTCCAGATTGCTCTACCAGGCTTAAAACTCAAATTCAATGCTGCAAAACATGCTCTCTTGGGCCAAAAGCTCAAGGAAGCTTGTGTAAACTTGGAAAACATCATGAATTCAAAACCATTTCGCAAAATTAAGGCCCAAGAGTGAGGCAATTATGCAAATTCAAGCTTAAAGTTCAAAGAACATAACATGCATGTATTGATATGAATTCAAGCCCTCCAAAACATGACCAATTAAGGTGAATTGATAGGAAATGTGATGAATTCTTAAAACCAAGCTAGAATTATTACATGCATGAGGGAATTCTCTTGAAAACAACATCAAAACTCCATGAAATGCACATGCATGCATGGTATGATTTAAACTCCTTCCTTCCTAGCTCAATTCTTAAGTTAATTCACCTATCTCACTTGATTCCTTGCATTAACCAACTAAATTTCAAAGTTAGAGGCTTGATTTCATACCTTAGATGTCTAGTTGAGCTCTAGTTAGCTAATTGTTGAGTCTCCAAGCCAAATCTTCCAAGTCTCTACAACATCCAAGTGTTTGAACTCAATTTTCTAAGTCTCTCTCTCTCTCTCTCTCTCTCTCTCTCTCTCTCTCTCTCTCTCTCTTTCTCACTATCACGTTTATGAGATCAAGTATGAGGGGATGAGAGTGTGTAACTTGAGTGTCTTAAGTGAAAGAAGCCTTATATAGGCTTGATTAAGAGTTGGTTAATTAAACTCTAATTAATCTAAGTAATAGCCATTAATTATTTTAATTAATTCGTTCTGAATCAAATTTGAATTCAACCTACCATAATGTTCCAAAAATTCTAAATAACACATATACCAAGTCAATTTCGTAATCAGATGCCGATAAAGCCTTCAATTCGCAAAACAAAATAGAAATACAAACAGATATTCATATAGTAGACAGATATAAACACAAACAATGGAATGCACATGTAATTAAGTCAGAATTTCATCTTAATTACTTGTTAGACATACTTAATCATGACATAACAATTAATCATAGGCCAGGGTTGTTACAGTCTTTCCCCCTTAGAGAGTTTGGTCCTCCAAACTCGAGTTACCTTTAGTCTGCAGGAATATCGAATACAGAGGAACCAATTCAGGGTATCTCTTCATTATATTATCTTCGGACCAATTCAGGGTATCTCTTCATTATATTATCTTCGGTCTCCCAAGCTGCATAGGTTCCTTCATAATCAACCTTTACCAGTGGGATTTCCTTATTCCTCAGTCTTTTGTTTCGGCAGTTAACAATCTGTATTGGTCGTTCTTCGTAAGTGTAATCATCCTTCAAAAGTATATGTGTTCGCTCAATAACATGTAATGGATCTCTCAAATAATCCCGTAACATTGAGACGTAAAAGACATTATGAATATGTTCTATGACTGATAGTAAGGCTACCCGATATGTCACCGGGTTGATTTTCTCAAGGATTTCATATGGCCCAACATATCTCGGTGCTAGCTTGCCCTTTACACCAAACTGTGTCTGGCCTTTCATTGGAGTCACTTTTATGAACACATGATCCTCGACTTCGTATTCTCTATCTTGCCTCCAGATATCTGCATAACTCTTTTGGTGACTTTGCGATTGTATAAAGTGAGCAAACATGACAAATTTCCAATAAATTTTTGGCTCAAGGCATTTGCGATTGTATAAAAACTGAAGATCATAATCTTTAGTCAACTCTAGCCATCTTCTCTGTCTCATGTTCAGTTCTTTTCGGGTGAAGTACTTGAGGCTTTTATGGTCAGCATACACTTCACAAGTCACTCCATACAAATAATGGCACCAAATCTTTAGTGCAAAAACCACAGCTGCAAGTTCAAGGTTATGAGTTGGGTAATTCTTTTCATGTGGTCTGAGTTGTTGCGAGGCATAAGCAATCACCTTACCATTTTGCATTAGTATACATCCCAAACCTTTATATGACACGTTACTATAAATTTGAAACCCATCAGTATCATTAGGCAAAGTCAAAATTGGTGCAGTTACTAACCTGGTCTTTAGTTCTTGAAAGGCTGACTCCCGTTGATCAGTCCAATCAAATGGCACATTTTTCTGCGTCAACTGTGTGAATGGCATGGCAAGTTTGGGGAAGTCTTTCACAAATCGACGATAATAAGCTGCAAGACCCAAAAAACTTCTAATTTCAGACACATCAGTTGGTCTTGGCCAGTCTACAATGGCCTCAATTTTCTATGGGTCCACTGATACACTATCCTTGTTGATCACATGTCCCAAAAATGCTATGCTGTCAAGCCAGAGCTCACATTTGGAAAATTTTGCATATAACTTCTTTTCTCTCAAAATCTGTAAGGCAATTCTCAAATGATTCTCATGCTCTACCCTACTTTTGGAATAAATCAGAATATCATCAATAAACACAACTATAAATTCATCTAGAAATTGTTTAAAAACCCTATTCATTAGGTCCATAAAGCTACGGGTGCGTTAGTTACCCCAAATGGCATCACTAAAAATTCATAGTGTCCATATCTAGTTCTAAATATCGTTGTCTCTACATCTTCTGCCTTAACCTTTAACTGGTGATACCCGGATCTAAGGTCTATTTTGGAAATCACTTGAGCTCCCTGAAGTTGGTCAAACAGATCATCTATTTAGGGTAGTGGGTATTTGTTCTTCAAGGTTACTTTGTTCAATTCTCGATAGTCTATACACAGCCTCAAAGATCCATCTTTCTTTTTGACAAACAAAATTGGAGCACCCCAAGATGAAGTGCTCGGGTGGATGAATTTCTTGTCTAAGATTTCTTGGAGTTGAACTTTTAATTCTTTCGATTCAAAAGTTGACATTCGATATGGGGTTTTAGAAATCGATTGTGTCCTGGGTACAACATCAATGGTAAACTCAATTTCCCTATCAATTAAATCTTCGGACAATTCATTTGGAAATACATCAGGAAATTCATTTACTACCAAAATGTTCTCTATAGTAGGACTATCAGAAGTCACAGTCAAAACACAACACATATACCCTCTATACCACTTCCTAAGCAGTTTAACAGGTTTCATAACAAAAATCAGGCATGGGGGAGGAACCACCCTATTCCCAGTAAACACAAACTCAGGTAATCTAGGTGGATGAAATATCACAGACTTATTCACACAGTCAATAGTTGCACAGTGCTTCGTTGACCAATCCATACCCAATATGCAGTCAAAATGATTAATTCTCCAACGTAGAAAATTAACTACAATGTCATATCACCAATCCTAATATCACATGCCGAATAAACATAAGCACATATTATAGAACCTCCAAATGGTGTAGACACAAATAGTAAATAGTTCATTGGTTCTAAAGGTCTAGTTAATTTCCGAGAAAAAGCATGCGATACAAATGAATGCGTGGAACTTGAATCTATCAATACATAGGCATTCTGAGCACAAATAGAGATTATAGCTCACACCACTGATTCATTATTTTGTACATCTCCAGGCACTAATGTGAACACTCTCCATTGCCTTAGCATTTTATTCCCAGTATTACCCCTGGCATTCGTTCTTACATTAGGCCTCGATGCAGAAGCAAGTCCGGCTAAACTTACTACAGGGCAATTGTCATTTTCTGACCCATTTGGATAATCTCTTATCATGTGGCTCGTCTTGCCACACCGGAAGCAAGCACCAGATATCCGATGCAAACCCTACTATGTCTTCTTCCACATTGAGCACAAATAGATACAAACCCGCTGCTTTGACTTGAACTGCTAGTAGACCCCGTATTTTGCTTCTTACTTATAGCAAATGAACGGCCTTTCTTAAAACTGAATCCAGATCTTTTCTCTCCCCATTCAGTTGTTAATGCTTTGGATTGTTTCTCTGCTGGTAATGTAGCCTCTACTATCAATGCTCTGTCAAGTACTTCTACATATGCGGGCAATTTCAAGACGCCTACTAGATCAAATACATCCAAGTCCAATCCCTCCTCAAATTTTTGAGCTTTCTTGTAGTCCATATCCATCATATGAGAAGCAAATCGAGCCAGTTCAATGAATTTAGCCTCATACTCAGCTACAGACATGTTGCCTTGCTTGAGTTCTTGGAATTCAAAAACCTTTCGGTCCTGAAAGCACTGAGGAAAGTACTTATCATAGAAGATCTCATTAAATTGAGCCCATGACATGATTCCATTATTATTTTGGATCAGCAACCACCATCTTCGAGCTTCATCTTTTAGAGCATAGGTGGCCAAGAGAACTTTCTGAGTCTCAGAACAAGGAAACACTTCAAATAATTTTTCTATCTCGAGTAACCATGTTTCTGCTTTTAGTGGTTCAATACCACCCGAGAAAGTCGACGGTTTCATCTTCATAAACTTTTGAGTGAGATTTATGATGTTATTGTTATCCGGTTCAACTAGCACTGGCGGGGGTGGAGGGGGCAAAGGTTGTTGCCTCAAAGATTCTATCAAGGCTGTAAGCATTTGTTGGATTCGACTCATTCGGGCTTCAAAAGATTCACTTGCATCATTTTCCATTGTATTCTCCATGTTGCTATAGGTAAACAAGGCAATAATAAACATAGGCCAATAATTCTTTTCACAATGTTTGAAGTATCCAGTTTCAGTTCATTTGTTTCAACTTCATATGTTCATATTCGGATTTAGTTTTCACATTTATACAGATTAACACACTCACACATGCAGATGAAATGTCCCTAACTCTTTTCTAGGACATTGTATAGCTCTTATGGACTCGTGTGCGCGGTATAACTCGTGCTCTGATACCACTCTATCACGACCCAAACTCGCCCCTATAGGTTTAGCGTCGTAACCAGCCAGTAATCCTGGGAATACCAAAGGCCTCTGAATAGAATTACAAAATATAAGGGACTGCAGAAGCAAATATACAAAATACAATGTCCATAGAGCTGTGTAGACATAAATGGGACAGAAAAGATTTAAAACTTATACTTATAATGTCAAACTTCCATACGTCATGTATCACCATACAGATACAGATAGTGTCATAAGGGACTTAGCCCAAAATACAGATAGACAAAAACAAAACAAAAACATCTTTTACATGATTCACACAACTTGACCACATGACTTTCAGAACCTCCTTGGGAGGCACAAGGGTTGGCCGACAAAACAAGCTCCAGGCGATCATAATTGAGCCTGGTCACCCGCCTGATCACCAACATACATAAAATAACTAGTGAGCGGAAGCCTAGTGAATAATAACAGAGTAAAGGGTTTAATGAATATTATCCATAATAGTTACAGAAAATGGAATTCATAATCATGTTCAGAAACCAGAGTTCATATCAGAAACAGATTTAGAATCATACTCATAATCAGAAATTGCATTTAATCATACGTGGTACATCCATTAGCACTAGTAGAAACAGTTGACCCATAACGGACGACCATAAAAGCATATAGTTGACTCACGTGCACGGGGACGGTACAGTGAGCACAAAAAGGTCCAAAATTGAAATGGGCATAAACTTGTTAAATTAACGTTTTATCAACTGGCGAGGAGAACACAATAAGGATTTCACTATGAAGTCCCCTTAAAAAAATTATAATATTATTATTAATAAACTGAAATAAAGTTCTTAGTAGAAGAGGGGTTAAAACAGAGGAAAGGTAAATCCAATTTTAGCCAGGTATAAAAAGACAGACAAATATAATTAACATAATCGGCAACAACTAACTCAAAAGCAAAAAAGTGAAGAATCCCACCTAACCGATTTCAAGTTATGTGTGAAAGTAATAAAAAGAAGCCAAAAATCTAATCCACTCTATTAAACACATCATAGTTAATGATAGCCCCAACATTTAATTCAAAAACAAAGAGAAGAGAAATTAAACATCATTGAAACTACTAAATGATGAATGACTATCAAAAAAAAAAAAATGACATTTTGATTGTTACCCCAATTTCATTGTTGGACAGATTTGGTTCATGAAGACTTACATCATGTACCTGCACCAATGGATATTGATTTTCACAAGTTTCCAATACTAACAGATGAAGGCGTTTTCCAATTGAGGGCCTTTTCCATGATTTTTTTTCCCTTCAACATATGTGTGAAGCACCATTACCATAACGGGTAATGATAGGGATGCAAAATTTTCTACCAAATGAATGACCAAATGTCTCACATGGGTGTGGGGTCTTACATGGTTATTCATTTGGTAGAAAATTTGGAGCCTATAACATTTCTTTATCATAACACCTACAATGATAAAGTGAAATGCTTATGGACCCCAAGCTTGACATGTTCTCATTTAGAAAAAAAAATTAAAAACAACTAAAAAAAGACCTAGCTTTATATGTTCCTAAGGCTAAGGACAAGATTACTATTAGCCGACCCCTTTTGGTCTCTAGAAACACCTGCCGACCACTTTTGGTTGTTGAAAAACCAGAAAAGTGGTCGGCCAGCTACTTTTTTTGGTTGGCCGACCAGTTGTTGCTGCTGGACTGCACTTTGCTGCAACAGAGAGCAAGAAAGGGCATGGCAATGTATTTGCAAGATATGTGTGCACAACCACCATCCCTGTCATGTGATGAACTCAAGGGGGTGTGGTTCTCGACCCTCGGGCCACCAATCGCGCATTTCCATGCATGATGGCTGAGAGGCGAAGTTGCACAATTCAATATGAAAATGAATGCACAAGTAAACACATAAAGCCTAAAACTCTATCATGAATGATCAAGAGCGCAAAAGCGTCGGCGACCGGGAATTAAGGCACATTTCATCACTTTAAGTATGAAATGTCCCTCGTTTCCCGTGTTTGGACTATCACTTATTCCAAACACAATGCCGGCAAGCATGGCATACACAATGCAAATGGACTACATGGCATACTCAATGCAATGTGACATGATCAACTTGACAAAGCCTATGACATGCGAATGATGCTAATGCATGCATGCACAATGCAATGCTACAAGGGCAACTTAGCAATGTTAGGGCCATACATACACAATGCAAAGCAAGATAAGCATGCAAGCAACATGCAGCTAACATACTAGCATACGCAATGCTAATGAACTACATGGCATACACAATGCAAATGGTTAATATGGCATGCACAATGCAATGTAAGATGGCATACTCAATGCAATGATTAATATGGCATAATCAATGGACTTAAACCAAAAGGGGTAGACCTCAGTCATGCCCAAATCAGTGGCCATTGGCGATAAAATTAAGGCACATAAAGCACATGCAAACATGCATGCCAATTGGCTCACCAATTTAAGGCTCTAAGGTGCAACTCTCAAGAACACTTAAAGAGTGAAAAGCATGGAAGTGTAGCAACACTAAGTGCACTGAAATGAAGTAAGAAATGATGCCAAATCATTCAAACAACATAAGCAAAGTATGCAAGAGTCCGAAGGCATGAAGGCTAGTGAAGAGGACTACCAAGGTAATACATGGCACAAATGCATGAACTAAGCATGGACAGAGCTCAAGTAGGTCAAAACAAGGACCTAAGCATGCTGAGATGAAGGCTCAAATACCTAGGCATGCAAGCATACAAGCTAAGCCATAAACTAGGCAATAAATGCACAACCCTTAGAGGCACTCAAAGGGTGAATGAAGTGAGAACATGGCAAGTCTATATGCTCTGAAATGTCATGTTAGGTGATGCCAAATCATGTACACAACATAAATGAGGCATGCAATGGTGCTCAAAGCTTGAGGCAAGCAAGAGCATTTGTACTACAAGTATACAAAACATGAAGCATGTGACCAAGGCCACCCAAAATAGTCCTAATACATGTTAAAATGAGTCTAAAACATGCATGGAAGTAGGCCAAAATATGCTAGCATGAGGGGCATAAGGCATGGTGCATACAAGGCAAATAAGGTGGATTACACTCCACCTATTAGGACCAAGCATGGTATGACTTAAGCAATAAAAATCAGAGTTATATCATGGCATGATAACCCCAAATAAGCACTGAAATGATGGCTCACAAGCTAAGGCATGAAGGCATACACAATGTTTCATGTTAAGGCATAAAGGGGCAAACCCTCCAACGCATTGAATGTGTGACAAATGTGAGTGTATGACCATGAAACATGGATTGAAATCACATAACAAGTGATGCAAAATCACTGAAATAGGCCAAGTAAGGCATGCTAGAGGACTCAACACATAAGGCTAACAAGCTAGGTTGAACCAAGGCTATACAAAGCAAGTCATGCATGACCAAAACAACCAAAAATCAGACCTTTGACATGCTAAAACATGAACAAAGTCTTCTCAGAGCTGAGCCAAAAGCATGCTAAAATGACATGTTACAACATGATACATGTTAGGCTATTTCATGGCATTACACTATAAGTGCATGGAGCATGCAAAGGCTAACCAAACCAAACCTAAACAGATGTATGACATGGTAAAACAAGCCCAAGAACATATTGAAATGGACACAACATAGGCTAGAATGACATGCTACTTCATGGAGCATACAAAGCTAGTGTGTGTGATTTACACTACAAGTGTATAAGGCATGCATGGAATGACCAAGAAAAGTAAAAACAGTGGTATGCCTCAGCAAAATAACCACAAATACAAGCTAAGACATGGTCAACATACACTTAACAAAGGTGCTCAAACATGAGGCATATGAAGCTAGTATTGAAGACAACAAGGAGAGGGGATGGCCCTCTCCTATCTAGGACCTTAAAACACCATCCCCACCACTGAAATCCAGAGGGATTTTAGTGGTGAGAGGGCCAAAATAAGGTGGTCCCGAAGCTCACAAAAAAGACTCAAAAACAAGGCCAAACAAGGCCTAAGAGGGGGTAAACAACCCCAAACAAAAAAGTGACCTTAAACAAAGATCAAAAGAATGAAAAAATAGAACTTCTATCAGTTATAAGTTAAGCTCAAAACAACATGAAAGATAGGCTAAAAGCTTAAGCAAGAAAGGGGGATTTAAGGGGTAGAAACTCACCCTTGAAGACTTTCTTTATAACTGCAACTCCAGCAGGTTTTTCAAGCTTAAAGCAACCCAAGAACACCAAAACCAAGTCCTAAGCACCTCAGTAGCGAAAGGATGGTGTTTGAGTGTGTGTTTGTGTGTTAAATTAGGACAAATCTACACTTTTAAAGCACAAAAATGGAGAAACAAGGCAATATAGATACAACACTATATCTATCCTTCTAAGCTGGTTTTTTTTAACCTAGAGGATGGAGGAGGAGCTTCCCTCTTATAGAAGAGGAAAGGCAAAGCTTCTAGGAGAAGCTAAGCAACAAGCCAATCCCTTCATACATGTGTATGGAGGATGGCTCAAATGTCCTCCAACTGTAGTTGAAGGAAAATATCTCCAAAAAGGTGTCAAAAAGCAGCTGACCACTTCAAGTGGTCAACAGAGAAAAAAACTAGTCGGCCATAGGTGGGAGAAGTCCAGGCACCAAAAACAAGCAAGTAGTGTGGTGGTCGACCATAAAAGATGTCCCAAAGACCAAGAAAGCCAGTTGTCCGACCAGAAAACTGGCTGGCAGAGGAAGAAGTGGTC